AAGAACGCACTGGCGGTTGTGAGATTATCCAGTGGAATATCCCACCTTCGTTGTCCGTCTTGTACTCCCTCTCCTTCTCTCCTTACCGACAACTTTTCCCCGTTGTACGGTTTCTTTACTTTGCTGGCCCAAGACTGAGAGGAGGAGGCGGAAGTTGTTTGATTCTATATTATGTCTTTTATTTCTTTTAATTTTTTTTGCGCATTGGTTGCTTCTTGAGTCGGGGGTTCCTTGTGTATTTGATTTTGTTCCCCTTTACTCCCTTCTGATTCCGCCACAGATTTTCCTATGGGAGGGGGGCCGCTCTTGGAGGGTTGAGGTCTTTGGCCTGGGTAATGCCGCACTGTCCCTTGGTATAAGATCACCGACTTTCCACTTTTTTTCTTTTTACGCACATCCGCCTTGATTAGTGCCATGATGGTTCAGGGGGGGTTGAGAGAGAGAGAAGGGGAAGAGAAAAGGAAAGGACTCGGATGAAGAAAGGGGAAGAAAGCGGGAAAGAAAAAAGAAAAAAAAAACAATAAAAAGAGGGGAAAAAAAAAAAAGGGAAAAAAAAAAAAAAAAAAAAAGAAACAGGGAAAAGAAAGAAAGGAAAAAGAAAGGAGAAAAGGAGAGGAAGGGAAAAGAAGAGAGGAAGGGAAAAAGGAAAAAGGAAAGGGAAACAATAAGCGGTTAAAAAAGGTAGGAGAAAGAAAAAGAACAAAAGGGGAGAGAATGAAGGAAGCAAGAAAGAACGAGAAGAGAGAAAAACAATGGAAAAGCTAAGAACACCGCGAGTGGGGTGCAGGTTTGGTGGGAGGGTTTACCCCACGTTTACGATCCTCTTCTTTTCGGCGAAACCCCTCCTTCAGGGAAGTCCGAACTTCCTGAAGGCCCCTGAGGGGGAGGTTGGTCGTCTTGTTTATAGTCGTTCTGAGCCCCGTCCTATCCTTGGAGATGTAGATCGCGGTGACCTTGTCGCCCTCTTTTTTTCTCCTCCCTTCTTTTTCTTTTTTTCCTTTCTTCCTTCCTTTCTCTTTCCTTTCCTCGCTTGCCACCTCTCTCTCCCTTCTTCTTCCCCTCCTTCCTTCCCTTCCTTGTGTGCCTTTCTATCGTCGCGCCGTGTTTGGACACTGAGTTTCTTTCACCTCCCGTTGACGCTCCTGTCTTCCGTCTCCTGTCGTTTTCTTGTCTTCCTTCTTCGCCTTTGTTCCTCTCTCTCTCTCTCTCTCTCTCTCTCTCTCTCTCTCTCTCTCTCTCTCTCTCTCTCTCTCTCTCTCTCTCTCTCTCTGTGATTCCTTTTCTGTACTTGCTCACGGTCTCCCACTCTCCCCCTTGTCTCTTTCCCCGCTCGTTTCCTGTCGTCCTTCTTCGTTTTCCTTTTCCCCCTCTTTTCCTTTTCCCTCTCTCTTTCCTCTCTCTTTTTTTGAAGTTTTTTCTCTCTCTATTTCTCTGCGTAAATCCTTTTCTTCGCTTGCTCGCGTTCGCTCACTCCCCCCCTCGCCTTTTTTTGCTTTTTCCCTTTCTCCCTTCTTCTTTCTCTCTCGCTGTCCCCCTCTCTCCCTACGTCTCTCCCTCTCTCACCGGTCGTCCCTCGGGCTTATCTTTTCCGCTTCGATCCCTTTTTCATGGTATATTGTTGAGCTTGCCGCTATCACACCTTGGACTGGACACCATGCCTTCCCTAACTACGTTTCGGTTCCCTAGCCTAGGCGGGCTTCTTCACCCTTCAGCTGCCAGGTCCACGCTTACCTACTAATCTTGCCCCAAGAAACCTACCAACATCGGCCATAGTCTGTACTAAGTCTCACTCTCATCAACCGTTCTTGATTATATGGGTGGTGTGTAGGTCTCTCTTGGTCCTGCATCCCACTATGTGAGAGAGTTTGAACACACGACCTCGTCCATGCAATTTACTATCGAACCTACTGAGCTACTATGGAAACTAAACGATTTATACGCAATATCAGACTGGAAGGCAAATGGACCATCCTCAAGTATGCAAGCACACAAAGAACCACTAGAACCAAAAGCATCATGCAAACATCCCACAACTCAAACCGAACATACAACAACCATGGACTAAGACCTCTAGATGATGCGCAAGCAGTGTCTGTAATTCGCAGCCCTAAGGCTGCGGCATAGTGGGCTTCAACGTTTGTGTCAAGGTGTCGCATTTTTGGCGGCGGACGACCAAGACGCAAAGTGGATTCTTAGGGGGCAAAAAAAAAGGGGGGACCTGTCCTTGGCAAAATTGCGGACTACCTACAACTAGCTCTGGTAGAATCGGGACTTTTGGAAAAAGGAAGGACCAGTCCTCGAGTGGAAGCGGACCGCAAAAAGAAGTGGGGGGCGTTGGACCAGTCCTAGGGTGGAAGCGGACCCCAAAAAGAAGTGGGGGGCGTTGGACCGGTCCTCGGGTGGAAGTGGACCCCAAAAAGAAGTGGGGGGGTTGGACTGAACCCTAAAAAGAAATGGGGGGCATTGGACCGGTCCTCGGATGGAAGCGGACCCCAAAAAGAAGTGAGGGCATGTGTACTGCAAAAGGGCCCTCAGGCCTAGGCGTTGAGGCTCGTCTTCTCAAAACAGGGAGGTTAGGCGCAACGAAACAGGCATCTTGCAAGAGATAACTTTTACGATTTTTTTTTGCTCGGAGGAATCCGACAGAAAAATCTGAAATTTTGAGAATCCATAGATGAGGTTGTGTTCTTTCCAGGAAAACATTAGAATATTTTCAAAAAATCATTTAGACCTCGAAATAATCGTCGCGCCGATT